TTTCCCAGCCAGGCTCCATTAGTGGCTCCCTGACCAACCACAGCTGCTCCCCTACAAACTCCTGCAGAGCTGTGATGTCCGGCAGGTACAGCCTGTTCAATGTGTGGCTCTGCCCAAGCTTGCCAGGGCTCCCACCCCCAATAGAGGTTGGCCACTCCTTGGCTCAGAACCTTTCCTCTTACCTGGGCAGGGAAGGGGGGCATGCACTGGGGAGGGGCTGAAGGGAGATGTAGTCCCTCGCTTTGCAGGTCCATCACCTTGGGAAGCAAGGGATTGGGCAATGGGGTTCCTGAGCAGTGGAGTGGCTTTGTGGGGAGCTGAGCAGACTTGGAGGAGAGAGATGTTCAGCTGGCAAGGGTCAATGGATGGGACTCCCAGGCTCCCCTGCTGTAACCACTAGACCCCACTCCCCTCCCAGAGCTGGTGAGAGAACCCAGGACTCCTGACTCTGAGTCTCTCCCATCTGTTAAGACTAGATTGCACTGCCTCCCAAAAGATGCAAGTGCCCAAGCGTGCTCCTAAATCACAGAAAATAAGCGTGCAAGGGGAAGGAGCAATGACACTGGTGTGGCTGATCTGTGACCCTAACACAGGGATTCATTAATTCATAGAATCATAGAATATAAGGGTTGGAAGGGACCCCAGAAGGTCATCTAGTCCAACCCCCTGCTCGAAGCAGGACCAATTCCCAGTTAAATCATCCCAGCCAGGGCTTTATCAAGCCTGACCTTAAAAACCTCTAAGGAAGGAGATTCTACCATCTCCCTAGGTAACGCATTCCAGTGTTTCACCACCCTCTAAATTCTAAATTCAGTCCGTCACACGTACAGAGCAGGTCTCATTCCCTTGAACAGGGGCCAGACACACATACACACAGTCTCCAGAACTGGTTGGCCCATCTCTGCACAAAGATCTTTGTCTCGCCCTATCCCCTGATTCACAATGAAATAGCCACCCTACTCCGAGTCAGAGCAACTGGGCCCTCTGCTTCTGCCACCTGCACGGTCGTGAACCACTATTACTTGGTGTGTTACAAACCTGGATTGGCTGGGATCATGGCTGCGGAGCAAGCGGCACCCATTATGGCCCCTCTCCAGTGCACTCCTTGGACGAACCAGGTGAAAACACCTGGCCCAGCCACTTTCTGGCTGGATCTTGAAGTTTCGAACCAGGGGGCCGCAATTATGTTAATGACACAGGCCCAGGTGGGTTTAGAGTGTCCCCCTGCCGGAGCCCATGACAGCACATGCTTGCAGAGACACACAGCCATCATCTTCCAAACAAAGCACAATTTATTTTCCCCCAGGGGTATGAAGCACTCAGGAGGGTGGATTAACACCGGGGCTGGAAGAAAGGATCCAGCCCTAACTTTTTTCTGCTGAAAAATACTGATTTGGGTTCAAGGTTGGCTTGGGCCTGATTTTTAAGTCTGCGTATTATAGGGGCCCACAAATATGTTTGGAGCCAGGCCCACAAAAAGTTAATCCAGCCCTGACAAGAAGGGCAGGAGACAGGAGGCTAAGGGCTCGAACGGAGGGCCCATTGGACCCATGAGAACTGTGTTTAGGTCCCACCAGGGGACTGAACCTTGGACAAGATGATGTAGATAGAGAAGCCCTTTCAGGAATCTTGTCACCATGGCACTGGAGAAAACGGATTTTTCCTGAACAGGGGGGATGGAATGCGGATACCACTACCAGATGTGCTCTCAATGAACTAAGAGCAAGCCTTGCCTTCTGAAGGTGTATCAGGTACTCCAAGATGTCCTGGATAAAAGTCTGTGCCATCTGGAGCCCACAGGCCAAGGACCACACTGAAACCTCCTTCACTTTGCTAAGTAAGCCATCCTGGTAGAGGACAGCTGCTGAGCACCTCTCTTCATCTTCATTCAGCCATGCAGCAGCCGCGCTGTGAGGTGCAGGGAGCAGAACATGGGATGCAAAGTGCAGCTGTGATTCAGAGTGAGCAGTTCCGAATGAAGAGAAAGTGGCACAGGAGGTCAAATCGACAGTATGAGAAGGTCGGAGAATCAGCACTGTCTTGGCCACATCAAGGCAAAGCGAATGAGCTTGGCCCGATGTGCTTTGAGCTTGAGAGGGACCTGAGGAACGATGAGGATAGGGGAAAAGGTGTACAGGAGAGCTGACTGCCAACTGCAGTGGAAGATGTCAGAGAGGGAGCCCAGACTGAGTCTCTCTCCTCCCTCCCACAGAGAGCGGAGCAGGCAACATGTCTGGTTTTCTCTGGTAGCAAACAGGTCAATGGTGGGAATGTCCCACACTGCAAAGGCGATCCAGAGGACACTCATCTTCAGGGGTCACTTGTGACTCAGGGAAAAATAATGGTCTGTGAAATGATTCTGTACCCTGGGCAAGTGGATGGCTATTGGAGTAATATTCTCTTTAATGCAGAAGTGCCACAGATTGATTGCCTCTAGTCAGAGCACGCTGGAGTGTGCTTCCCCCTTGTTCGTTCCCATAGTACCAATATTGTGGTGGTATCATCAGTAAGTATGTGAACCACTGAGTGTCTGATACTGTCTTGAAAGGTGCAACATGCTTTGTAGATGGCCCGAAGCTCCAGTACAGGGTTATAGGGTGAGGCCTCCTGCTCTGACCACAGCTGTACTTTCAGCGACCCCAGGTGTACCCCCTCCTCCCCACCAACCCATCAGGGAGGCGTCAATAACAACTGACTTGGTTGGTGAGGGCCAGGCAAAGGGCAAACTGGCAAACATTCTGTGGACATCCACCATTGCAAGGAGTCTAGGACCAGCAGAGGGAGCTGAACCAATCTGTCCAGAGAATGTAGAGGAGGACAGTACACCATCCTGAGTCACATTTGAAGGGAGCGAAGGTACAATCTTGCAAACTGGACCGCTTACATGCAAGCAGACAGTTCTCCTGGGGGAGTTTTGCACCACTGCGCTTTTGCAGAATTCATGTCCCCCTCCGATTTCTTTACTTCCCTGCAGAAAAATGATTTTCTGATGGTGAGACAAAGGAAAGCAGCAAGAATGGTCATGCTCCTTACCCCAGCAGCATGGGCACGTCATTTGGGGCACCCAGAGCAGCTGGTGGAAAGGTAAATCACCACAGGGCTGGAGACAGCCCCCACCAGTGCCTCCTACCCTGCACCGGACTCAGCTGTTAGTCCTGGCTGGGCTGGGGATGATAGGACTTCCTTTTCCCCTTCAAGGAGCAGCTGGGGCTGGGTCAGATCCACCCCCATAAATCTCCTCTGGCTGCAGGAAGCGCCCCACCTGCCCTCCCCTTTTCCTGCCCAAATTGCTCGTCAGCTGCAGGGGAGGGAGGGATCATTGTACAGGGAGCTGTTCCCCCAACCTCCCAACTCCCGTGCATCCAGACCTCCCATAACCAGGTCCCTCCTTCCAAGATTCACCCCTGCAGCTGAACCCATCCCACTAACCTCCACCCCTGCACCCAGACCACCCCCACTCAACCGCCTGCACTTGAACCCCCATCCTGATGAGTTCCCCCAAACCTCGACCACCCAATGAGCTCTCCACATGTGGACACCCACCCCAATAAGCCCAAACCAGCTGCACCCAGATCCCCACCCCCCACACCCAGACCACTTTCACTGGACCTCCATTGTCCCTGCACCTGGAACCTCCGCCCCGCCGTGAGCCCCTGTGCATCCAGATCCCCACCTCCACCCAGACCCTCCACTGAGCTGCTCGCACCCAGATTGCCCCACATGGAACCCTCTCATCCGACACCTGGATCCCTCCACACTTGGATCCTGCCATGCTGAGCCTGCTTGCCCAAACCTGGTGCACCTGGCAGAGAGGGGGATGGCCCCAGGGTGTTTCTGGGGCAGGCCCAGCCCTTGCACTGTGTCAGGGTTGGGTGCAGCCTCATGATCAAGTCCATGTCTTGGGGTGGAGAGTTGCAGGGTGATCTCCCACCACCATACAGCCTGTGGCCTGAGCTGCCCACTGCCATACTGGAGCCTCCCCATCTATTTATTGACAAATAAAATGTGGAGAATTTTAAAAATATTGTGCACAGAATTTTTATATTTTTTGGTGCAGAATTTTTAATTTTCTGGTGTAGAATTCCCTCAGGAATAGGACATGTGGCCCAACAGTCTCAAACACATTTGAATTGTCATGGACGGCTGAGAGTACAGACTGAGGCAAAGATGTCAAATTGTCTGAAAACAGTTGGGCAGCAGGAACACTCTTGATGTCATAGAATCTAACAGGGCCCCAATCCACTTGGTTTTTTGGATGGGAGTCACAGTTGATTTTCTGTTGTTTAGAATGAGACCCAGACAGTCAAGCAAGCAAAATATGGTACTGACATGGACAAGGAATTCCTCTCTGGATCTTCCCCTCAGTAACTAGTTGTCAAGGTACTTGGGAACCATAACAGTCCATTAGCAGCCCTCAGTGCTCTCATGGACTGATGGGGAATGGAAGGATGACAACCCCAACTCAGTTACACAAGAGCCTTGGGATCCTGGTGATAAAGGTAGAGCAAGAGCAGAAGGAACAGGTAGGTGGTTTGACTCGTCTGTCGCCCAGAATAAGGCAGGAAGCAGTGCTGCAGGTGGAGGCAGTACCATCGGTACTGAGAAAGCCAATGTTGGAAGTGGTGTGACATTACCCAGGGTATAAATGTGGATAGATGGACAGCTGTGTCCCCTCCAACTTGGGATGCCTTTTGCACTTCTTCACTGTGAGAGCAACCACTCCTGGTTCTGCTTACACACAGTCTCTAGCATGTAAATTACTCCCAGTTATAGTGTAGGAGTGTTATAGCTAACCACTCATGAATTACATTACAGAACGACACCAGCAAATTCCCAATCCCAGACCCTCCCTCAGAAATGTGCAACTTGTACTGCCCAGCTCTCTCCTTCTGAACAATGCAAGAAAGTCCATCATTTCATTAATAAAAAATGATATGCATAAACCCTGTTATCTCAACTGAAGATTCCCAACCACTCTAATCCAAACACACCAGTTTAGATACAGCAGTAAAACAGCTTTATTAATAAAAGAAATGAAACTTAAGTGATTACAAGTAATGAGGCATAAAAGAGTTGGTTACAAAGAAAAAAAACGCAAACTAATACCCAATTTAGCAAGCTAAATAAATTCAGAGCAAAACATTTTCTCACCACATGCTTTTTGCAGTGCTTACGGGATGAAAGCCTCCCAGCCAGGACCCCTCCCCCAGTTCAGTGTTTCTTCAGGTGTTGCGGCTGCTGTGAGCAGAGAGGAATGGAGGAGAGATGATTTGTGTTGTGTGCTCTCTGTTTTTATACTCGTCTCTCCTCTTTGAGGATTATCTTCAGCTGGGGTTCAGGTGACAAAGTCTGGGGAATGGGAACTCCCACCTGTTTCTTTGCCAATATGTACATTTCTCACTCACACACTTCTTCCTGCCAAAAAATGGCCACTTAACCAAGTCATAGTTCATCTGATTATGTTGACACCTGGCTGAGGCATCAGTTTACTTTTTTGTCTCTGAGGAACTGGTTTGGGCTGCTTCCCCAGAGTTGGAATATGCCTTTGTAACACCACACAGTAGAATCTTAACTTTACATACAATGTTGCCACACACATTTTACCAGAACAACAATGACCAGAGAATTAGGAGTTTTCAAATGATACCTCACAAAGCATACTTTGAACAAAATTTATCATAAAAATGGTAAGCATAGGGGTACAGTCTATCACAAACAGTGCTGGTCCCGACATGAACAACAGTACCGGAGTGACCGACTGTACCAAAGTCAAGGGGAGTGAAAAGCCTCAAAGGAAGCACTGCTGTGCCAAACTTCATTCCTCTGATGCTTAGAAGCTTTCCATCTGATTTCAAGCCTCAACTTATTGATGGCCAGTTTATATCCACTTGTTCCTATGCCAACAACAGACCCTTAACTTATCTTTTCTCCCTCCCTGGTGTTCATCCCTCTGATAAATTTAGAGAAATCAACCAGCCCTCCCCTCAACCTTATTTTTGTTAGGATAAACAAGCCAAGCTCCTTAAGTCTCCTCTTGTAAGGCAGGTTCTCCATTCCTCTGATCATCCTACTAGCCCTTCTCTGCACCTGTTCCAGTTTGAATTAATCCTTCTGAAACATGGGAGACCAGACTTGCACAATATTCCAGATGAGGCCTCACAAGGGCCTTGTATAATGGTAACACCACTTTCCTATCTCTACTTGAAATACCTCTCCTGATGCATTCTAGGATTCCCTTAGCCTTTTTCACAGCTGTGTCACACTGGCAGCTTATAGTCATACTGTGATCAATCAATACATTCAGGTCTCTCTTTCTTCTGTTGTTCCCAAGTGATACATACCCAGCTTATAGCAAAAAATTCTTGTTAGTCCCTAAGTGCATGACCTTGCACTTTGCACTATTCCACCCCGGCCCCACTCCCTCCTAGGGATGGCCCTACATATCGGCAGTACCTCTCATCTTTGTGTCATCTACAAATTTTATTAGCACGCTCCCACATGATTGTCTATCTTACAATTATCAGAACTCCTTAACTCAAGAATGGCTGTCATTTTTAAAGGTGAACTGTAATACCTTAAAAATTCTCTCTCTGTATAAAAATGCTGAAGGGTGTAGTGATGCTCATACTACAAACTTCCCATGCACAACTGCAGGTTCCAGCACATTGCACAAAGACTAAATTCACATTAAAAGGAACCATCAGAAATCCCAAACTAGCAAAAGAAAACAGGTATAAGATACAATTATTTGTCATCGGGGCTAAAGATAAACTGAAGACTAACTTCCAAGAGTCGAGTTCAGGGTTCTATTTCTCTCCTGCAACAGCTGATACCCCCTACACTTACAGCAGCTCTTCAACTATTTAAGGTGTTAATAAAGTTAAATGAAAAAACACAACTCTTTTCTAGGCAGGTGAGTAAAAACTGATTTTCAGCTCTTGTGTTTGAAAGTATATTTACTTATTTTTAAGTGTAACCCATGTATTCTCTTTATAGTGAGCATACTAAGTCAGACCACTGGTCCATCTAGCCTAGTGTCCTGTCTTCCAAGAGTGTCCAGATGCTTCAGAGTGAGTGATCCATCGCATCATGCAGTCCCAGCTTCTCACAGTCAGAGATTTAGACACTGGAGACCATGAGGTTGTGTCCCTGAGCATCTTGGTTACTGGTCATAGATTGATCTATCCTCAATTAACTTCTTTAATTCTTTTTTAACTCAGTTATGCTTTTGGCCTTCACAATATCTCCTGGCACAGAGTGCCACATGTTGACTGTGTGTTGTATGAAGAAACACTTCCTTACGTTTCTTTTAAACCTGCTGTCTATTAATTTCATTGGGTGACCCCTGGTTCTTGTGTGGTGACTGCTAATTTGCATTACTTCACACTAAGTGTAGGATCCTAACTGTCTCATTTAAAGCATTTCAGCACACCTTTAAATGATGTAGTTCAGATTCCTATTTTTAAGGAGTTCTCTTCACACAGTAGGCCAAATCCACTTTTCTTGATAATAATGAAAAATGTTTATTCTGAAAATGCCTTTTTAATAAGTTTACACTGACCCTGAAAGAAAAAAATTGGAACCTGTATCATCCAAAGCGCTAACACATGCTGCAGTCAGTGTTTCACAGCCTTTAACGTAGAAAGTCATTATTTATGTTCCAATTAAGTACTGAATTCTTTCAATGAAAACAAGTCATCTACACTGTCTATGCTAGAGGTGGTTACAGAACTTTACTCTGCAGCAGCCAGACCTGTTCAGCAGCAAGATTGAATGGGCCCTGAAAAGCTGACTGCTGTATACATAGGCCCAGATGGCATGCATTTACCAGAAGCATGAACTGTAATCAGAGTCCAGCAGCCATATGACCAAAGCTTTTTGAAGTGGAAACACTGTAAAAGTAAAAGATCTTTGATATCATTGGCTTCAACTGCATTGGAGCAACAACAAAAAAAATAGTATGCCCTTTAGAAAAACAATCTCAGCATAATGGAAGTATTTCTGGATGCAAAAGCCAACGTATGTTTTAAAACAGAAACTGATATAGACATTCAGAAGAAAAGAAAACATTTGCACTATACAAACATCATAAATGATCAACAGCTTAGTTCATTAACAGGTTAGTTTGATGGAAAATAAACTGCCCATTACAGACATGGGGTACACAGGCATTTCTTGAGACTCGAAGGAATAATTTCTTTGGTAATATCTGTACATTATTTCATTACAAATATGGTGCTTATACCTCAATATTAAGTCTAGCAAATCTGTACTGTAGAGATGCTGGAGTTCTTAACAAAACAAGCCCTTTTTTATCAGCTGGTTGACTGGATAACATATGCAGTAATCCTGTCAAATTAACAAATCCCAGTGCTTCTCCACAGCCAGCAGCTAATGAAAAATCCCCTTGAGTGACAAAACCTAAAAGAACTCTAGAGCAGTGTGAAGTAACATCTGGTAGAGGGTCAGGCCATAAGCCAAGTATTAGTTCTTTAGGCTCCTCAACTGCCTTTGCCTCAAGGGCATCAGAAGCACCACTTTCTAGAGCCTTCTCGTTGTTCTTTTTCTTTTTTCTCTCTTTGAGTTTCAGTATCTTGTGTTTGAATATGTCACTGTGTTTGGGCTCTTGAGGACCACAGAAGAGCTGGTCTTTGTTAAGCTGTAGAAAATCCTCCTGTGTTGGAATGCATATCATGGTATGTAATTCAGGGCTACCTTTTCTTATCAGAGACAAGCTGACCCACACCAGCACCCTTGGGTAGCACTTAAAGAGTGATAAAAGGGCATCTTCAGTCATTTCCTTCTGTCCAAGTTTTGAAGCAGGGCGTACCCTCTGACCTTTTCCACAAGTAGGCCGGCACCTGGCTGACAACTGCTTTAGTAGCTTTCTGCTCCTGTTTGAAGTTTAAAAGATGCATTAGGGATGCTCAAGTACAATAAAAAAAACCTCAGAAGTATCATTGTAAATTAATTTTAAAAAAAACCCACTATCTTGGACAGCCTTTGTAAAGCTCTCAAAATCTAAAAAACCCACAAAAACACAGGTATAGAACTATTTGCTGAAAACAGCACAATACATTTTAAAAATTAGTTATTTTATCAGCACTTTTGGCTTCAAATTTATTTGAAGCCAGATTTGCTTTTCTTCAGTTTTATCACTATTTTCAAATGCTGCTATGCAAAATGAAACACCCACACCCAAGCACTTCTCTTCATGTGCGTTAGCATGGCTTTATCAGTGTTCTAGAAGTTATGTGAGATCTTCATTCACTCTGTTAGAAACATGAGTAGTGAGAGGAACTGTCCATATCCATGCATTAGAGATGGGAATACAAGTAAATGTATCAAGAGTGATAGAGTTTTTAAACTGGAGCTTTTAAAAAATTAAATTAAAAATTAAATTTAAATGCTTTTTAAATAGTAGCTTTTTTAGGTGCATGTTTCCTTTTCTTTTTAACCATTTACACATTTCTTTAATAAAATATGCCACTTTCTCCCTACCAATGGCTCTCTGGGCCCTCCAAATATCCTTCCCACTGGCGTGGCCCTGTATTGCCTGCCTCCAAAGCAAGTACCAACCCAAACTGTTTACTAAAAGAGGCTCCCCACTGCAGTCAGTGACTCCCCATTCAGGAAGGGTAGGAGAATAGCTTACTTCCAATCACAGAAGGTTTTCTTTCTTTCCCCCCTAAGGCAGCTTTTTATCTCACCCTCCCACCTGGATAGAGATCCACCAGGTCAGAATTCACTTCCCATCCCCTCCGGGAACCGGGAGACTCAATTAGATGGTGGGTCCTCATGGCTTGCCAGTAAGCCATCCCCTCTTTTAACAAGCATGCAGGACAGTAGTTACTGATAAGTCACTCCTACATACCTGAGAACAAAGAAGCCACTACTTGTTGCAGCTCCGTCTTCTTTGCATAAATTTTGAATCTCTGTCATTTCTTCCATCATGCCACTCTGAGGATCCTCTATAATCAGTCCAGGTTTGGGCTCACAAGGAACCTGCCTTTGAGTTGCACAGCTCTTACTGTCTGCAGATGAAGTAACCACAGATTCTTCCTGAGCTTTGTTTCTTACTTCCCAGTCCCTGTTTAGTTGCCCCCACGGACAGAGGAAAGGTGCCAGGGTGCCAAGTTTGACATAGTTTGCCCTTTTTGCAGGTGGGCGTCTGAAAGAAAGAAGGAAAGAGAAAAATGTCCCATAACTTGGAAGCAATGAAACAATGTTCATTATAGTGTACCTCAAGAATAAAGAAAAATTATGATGTTGAAATACCAGATAAAGGAGAATAATCTATTCAGCTAACTTGCAAATTAGAAAAAAATTACGTGCCAGGGCCCCCGTTTACCAAATAACTAAGCATCTCTTTCCTTGTATTTTAAAGATGGGCAGTTAACTCTTTAATCTTCTTAAGCAGGAATTCTGAATCTCTGGAAATTTGACTTCCATACAAAACTGCCATGTATCTGTACTTCTGGAGTGCAAGGGTTCTGCATTGTAACAGGTCTACTTTGTTGGCGCTGTTGTGCCTGATGTTACTCAATCTTCTCCCTAGCCTCTCGCCCCCGGCAACAGGCAAAACATCTGACACTTATTTGCCCAGAGAATACTTCCGCTTGTACCACATTTCGAGACAGAGAATTAGAATAAGCATTCATTTACTTGGGAAAATAACTATAATCAAGTGCTTTAATTAAATTGTTGTACTCTCTATAGTTTCTTGCACCCTCTTTAATAGATGATACCAAAATGTCTTGTCACCAATTGTATCCTTCTCCATTTGGCGGACACTGGTTTTCCCCTACAAGTTGCTAATGGAACTTGAAATGTATGGCTTTATTTACTTTGTTGTATTATGCACAATTATATTACAGCTTTTTTCTGAACAGAACTCTGGGAATAGGGTGCATAAAACTAACTAAAACAAACATTTAGGGGAGAGCACTTAGTCTACATCACATGGATTTTTGTTTCTGATTATAGTGGGATTTAAAATACTAAACACCACCCCACCACAAATCACAAGTCTAGAAACTGAACTGAGCAACAGATAATTTTACGGCATATCAAGTTTTGATTAAAGTGGCAAATCAATCAATCATGGAGAAATTAACTTCACCTCTTGAATTTTTCAAGAAGAATGTTTTCTAGTTCTTTGGCAAACTGGATTCCAGCAGGACAGTCTGGGAAATCATTTGGAATGTGAGGTGTTCTTTTATATTCGGAATGTTTCAAACCCTCTTGCAAGCCACCTACTCGTGCGCCTCTATATACCTGTAAGGTAATAACATTAGTATTTTTCTAATGCTCCTAACTGAAGTATCTTGGAGAATCCCTTAGGCGCTACTCTCAGAGTACTGAGCTTCTATCACCTTAGTTTTGAAGATGTGATTAAAGTATGGATATCACATTCTAAAGACTCATTTGAACAAAATGCTAATTATGCTTTATTAGTTTAATTCTCAAAAACCATCAACAAATCTAGAGAATGACTTCAAAAATTCTTACTCCAAGTATTGGCACAAGTGTTATAATATCTCTGCAAAGCTGTTGTTCAATTACCTTTTATTATACAAAATATCACAATTGTTCCATCCATATGCACAGAACTATATAGCGAACTGCAGACAAGCATAATAAACCATCCTCTTTAAATTATAAGAGCAGAATGTTCCGAACAGCAAGGTAAGAGCATTCAGCACAATTTAAACTTTGCTCTCCTGTTTCAGGTCCCATGAAATCAGAGATCGCCAACCTGTGTTCAGTAAGACCCTCAGCTGGCAGAATGCTGGTGAGGTCAACCTAGGGCTAGGCTATATGGATGGCAGTAAGTGCCAAATAAGAACCTTTGCAGACTCTCAGAATTTACCTTTTTAAAATTTTGGATTTATTTTATCTTTTAAAGAAATAAATATACACTTAGAAACATGATAGCTGAAAAACTATAAAGCAGCACTGGCCTGCTCACTCTGTTCCCATATAAAGCCTCATTTCATGCTCTGTCAAACATCCATTATTGGTGCAATAACCGAAGTGGACACAATGGTAGGTTATTTTAAATATTTTTAAACACACACCAACTCACTTTCATGACAATATTCATCTGCTCTCTTTCAACTGACATTTTGACCCAGTAGTTGTAAGTGGGTTGCACAAGGACAAGTTTTCCCCAATATGTACATATCAAAGTAAATGAACTTATAACCCATCATATTTGCCTGCAATTTGTAATGAAAGCCACTTACAAAAGGAATCCAGAAAGCCATGCCCCAGCCCTTTGGCAGATAGATATCCCAGCCACTTCCCCATCCTGGTCGATCTTCACCAGCCACTTTCCCTGGCTGTTGAACCAAGAGAATGGGAATCTTGGATTCACGAGGACCCAAGTCAAGCTGTGAGCCAGGTACCAATAGTTCACCTCTCATATGGTTTAAATCCTGAGATGGGATAAAAGCAGTTGGGAAAATGCTCAAAAATTTAGTACCCATTTTTCTTTTTTCAAAAAGTTGTTACACACACACACACAGTGATTTCCTTATTATAGGCAGTGAAAGTAGGTAATCTGAATTCCGCACAGGTTATTCTATGTACATTTGAATCTGTCTTCACCTATTGATAAAAACAGTTCATAAACAACAAATTTAGGATGCTCCTGGGAGCAAGTGTTAATCTCAGCATCCAAAAAAACCAAAACAAACAGGATTTACACATCAATGCTTCACACTATTGTATTGCAGAGCAGGTACTGAAACTGAAGGTAATAAAGTAGAAATGCCGACTTCTGAAAAAACCCCATTAGTAAACAAGTTGTGAAAATCTGACTACCAGACAGCTTGCATGAGGGAGAGAAATATTGTACCATAATTTAATATTTAAGGGCTCTTCCCATGAGTGTTTAAATTTTTGCTGTGTAACAGACTAGCTGCTTTCAGACAATTTCTCACTCACTATACCGAGCAATAGCTGAGTTGTATCATTTTTAGGATTCAATAGGTACAAGAAAAAGAAAAGGAGTACTTTTCAATAGCTACAAGAAAAAGGAATCTTTGGTTCCAAGCATTGCTTTATAACCAATTTCACAACCAGTGGCATAAATGTAAATCAAAATGGCACCCAGGAATTCTCAATCTTCTCATGCTATAACCTCTTGTTTCTAAAGGTCAAGGACCTAAAGGTTTACTTAAGCTCTTTTCAAAAACATGTAAGGCTACAATCTGTAGAGCTATTAAAGCAGAAAGGAAATGTCAACAGAGTAGTTAGCACTCAAGTTTATGACAGCATGCAGAATGTCACTAGGTTCATAATGGTTATCATTCTGTTTTGCCTGTACACAGTTATTTCTATTTGGCTACACAGGTCATGCTTTAGAAGAGCTTTGATTATTTACACAAAGGTAGTCATCTGAAGGAATATGTTGCTGATTTATACAGAAATTAGTCACAAATATTTTCCCATTTCAAAAAGGAGGAGGAGTCCAGAACTTGCAGCCCAGAGGGAGTGGGAGCTAATGTGACTTTAAGCCACCTTTTTGCCCTCCAGATCCTAGGCTGTTCTACAGTCCCTAGAGTGAGAGCCTAAGTTATGGCAGCCTATCCCCAGCTGCCTGCAGGTTACAGCACTGCCCAGAATCTCCACAGCACTGTGTGCTGCAACCCTGCTTCAGGCACGACCCTCCAGTCTCCAGAATGCCCCTACACCAGGATTTGTGAGGCAAAGCCTTGAAAGGCAGCCATAGAGCTATCTTCCTTAGTTCCTGCACCCTAGGAATCCTTGCCCAACCAGATGTAAGGCTTTTAGAACCTCTGGCCCTTTTACCTGGTGTAAAGGCATCAGAGCAAGAGTAAGGCTTCTCACCCAAAATTTTTAGAAAAACCAAGATATTGAATTATTTTATTCTAAACACAAGTCAGCAAAACTATATTTCAAAGCATAAATTAAGTAATGAAAATGCATTACTGTAATGGTTGTGCAAGAAAATTGGATAGGACGACTCCAGTGAACTGAAGAACCAACTCTTCATCTCAGTAACAAATCACTATTAAATTAGGAAGTTGTTGCTTTGTGAATTTCAGGAGAGTTGATTTTTAAACTTCACTATATGGTTTGTAGGGGAGGATGATAAGATGTTTCTTTAGAGTAATCCATGCTGTTAGTTACCTGCTCTGGGATTTTATTTTCAGTAACGTTCTTACAGATAGTCTGGTCCCAGATAAAGCTGTGAGCACATTCCACAGGCACACCTTCCAGAAGCAGCTGCCTAACTTTCTCATTATCTGTAAGAGAGAGAACCTTCATACAAAACCTACATTTCTCAACTTAAGCTACATAAAAGGGAATAGACAATGTGAGCAAAATAATTGGACAGACTATAGCTACGGAAATGGACATAGTACTATGAAAAATCAAATCTTCCAGAAGAACTCAGGTACCTTTTAGTTTGTGCCAACAGCATCCACATGAGGCAGTTACAGCGCAGCACTTTGGTGTGTGTGGCATTTCACAGCCCCACAGTCAAGTCCTAAGGCCACTTTAATTCTGAATGCATCCACACAGAGGTTTAATGCAGTTTAACTAATCCGTTTTAAAGTCACACCTTTAGTTAATGGGAATGAGCTTTCATCCCTTTGCAAACAAACCCTTAAGTATTTTAGCTATATTGTCGATTTTTAAATTGGTTTGTAGTTTGTCTGAGAAACCATTTTAGAGGATTGAACAAGTGGTCTCATCAAAAGCAGTTTCATAGCATGAATTAGTAAGTATATGTTGCAAGTTTGGCAAAATGAGTCCCACAGATCTGTAGTATATAACCTGTGGCTCTTTATAATTGGTTTGTAGAATCATCCATTAAGTGAAAAAGGCTGAAATTTACTGGGTTTGGGAAATCAGCAGAAGCAACGTTACCATGATGCCTACAAGCTGCTAGGCGTCCCAAGTCAGCAAACTTGTATGATAACTGGAGATAATCTTGATAATATTCTAATAATGCATTTTAAAGTTATCAGTACCAAGTCTACCACCACCTGACCACTTAATTTGTTGTTCCCATGCGCCCCTCAGTCTCTCTTTTTAGAGCTCATAGTGGCAAGGACCGTGCCTTTCCAGGTTTGTAGTGTCTAAATAGTTATGGGTGCCACCAGAAACAAATGTAGTATTTTTAGTCTGCCATTGACTTACTGTGACACCTTGGGCAACTCACTCAACTTCCAGAGTAGCAGCCGTGTTAGTCTGTATTCGCAAAGAGAAAAGGAGGACTTGTGGCACCTTAGAGACTAACCAATCTATTTGAGCATAAGCATCCGATGAAGTGAGCTGTAGCTCAATTAAAAACCTTTACTTTTCAGCTATAGTCATTTTAAGGTACTACTTGTAACTACGGGAGTTAAAAAAATTCTCAGACAAATGTGATTTTTTTTTTCAACTTGAGTGTCCCTTGAATACCTATAGAGTTATCAAGAGGATAGCCCCAAAGCACCCCTGAAGTTAGGTTTTCATATAATCTTCAGAAGGCAGACAAAAATAATGATTAGATCTTCCAGAAGTTAGGATTCCTTAAACTTGAGAGCATAAATCTAGAGGATTCTGTTCTAGATGTAAAAAGCTAATATCCACAGGGATTTGAGAAAATGCTTTTTCAAATAATTTTAGTAACAGATTCATTTATTTCTTCCATCTGTGCTGATGCTGAAATAGGAATGGTATTCAACTATGATCACATAAGAATGACACAAAGATAAGCAGCTAAATACAAGATTGAACAGATGGTTGAGAACCACTGTGCTAAACTAGGGGTCCAGGGCCCCATGGGGGGGCCGCAAGCAGGTTTCAGGGGGTCCGCCAAACAGGACCAGTGTTAGACCCACTGGAGCCCAGGACAGAAAGCCTAAGCCCTGCTGTGCACAGCTGAATCCCGTGGCTCTGAGCCCTGCTGCCCGTGGCCGAAGCAGAAGCCTGAGCAACTTAGCTTCGCGTGGGCTCCTGTGGCATGGAGCCCCAGGCAACTGCCCTGCTTGCTACCCCTTAACACCAGCCCTGACTTTTATATGCAGAAAACAATTGTTGTGGCACAGGTAGGGCCAGGGAGTTTTTAAAATAGCATGTTGGGGAGCCTCAGAAAGAAAAAGGTTGCAAGCCCCTGGTTTAGCATACGGAATTAGTGCACAAAGGACCATTCAAGTGAAGTGGCCCTGTAGTCAGAGGCCAAAAAGGGTATTTAGTGAATTACACTGTTGTAATAAGCCATAAATCCTGTCTCTCTTACCAACAGAAATTGGTCCAATAAAAGATATTACCTCACCCTTGTCTCTCTAATATCCTGGAACTGACATGGCTATAACACTGCATAGAAGAATAAGCAGACTGTCTCCCTCCACATCCAGTCTCTCCATTATCTGCCTCTCTCTATATTATCCAAATGTGTCCTAGTTCACCCCTTTGCTCCATTACTGTAACTTTCTCTTCTTTGGCCTCTCCTCTTCAATTGCACAGAGGCAATCTGGCATCAGAGCTCAAGCAGTTACATCCATGCCCTACCCTTGACACTCTTCACAACTTTCTATATTCTACAAGAAGTTAAAGTTTCTCATGTCATTTTCAGGGAGCTATCACTGTTTCTGCCTATGTCTAGAGTTTTAATTCCCTCTACTCCCTCCCTACACGCCTTCCAATCTTCTTCTCACTGTCCCATACCTCTTTCTGCTCCTGGCTTTGTGCAGACTCTCTCATTGTTCCCTATGTTTCGAAGAATCCCATTTGTATGCCAAATATCCCAAACCTAAATCTCCTCAGCAATGACCTCTTTATAACCACCGTCTCCTGAAGGGCTCTCCTTGCAGTTTTGTCTAGAGTTTGTAAGGTCACAGAGGAAAGGATCACGTCTTAATCTATGTTCTTGTAAAGCACTGTGCACACTCAATTCAATGGCACCTGGGCCCTTATGAAAATCCCATCTTAAGTCTTCAGCAATGTGCTCAACATTATATAAGAGCACAAGACATTGTCCTTGTCCCAAGAAAGTCAGTAGACAGGAGATACAGGAAAAAATGATTTCCTTTAATATATTAGCTTTTTTACAGGTGTGTGTGGGTGTATTAAACTTAATTTAGTTTTATAACAAAAAGAGTTGTGGTGCTAGCCAAAGTCAGTCAGCAAAGGAAACAACTGAAGGGAGAAAAGATTTCACATTTACTAGGGGCCAACAGTTCAAAAGCTAGGTTCTTCTGGTAAAATGTATGTGCAGAATACAACACATTTCAGTCAAATCGAAACCTTTACAATGGTCTTAAACTGATGTATTTCACAGGAAGCCAAGTTTCAAGAACAATCTGGCCAGCAGTTGTGCTTCTTGGGCAAGCACAGATGGTAAACCAGGAGCTTTGGGGTTGGCCAAGGGGAAAGGTACTACATTCTGTGACTCTCTTCAATATCTACTACAGGGCAAAGACTGCTGCTGGAAGAAACAACAGAATTTTAAAAGGAAACATGGAATCCATTTAATGAGATACAGGATAGCACTCACGCAACAAACCTAGACTTCCCTGGAGTCCATCCCTTTGGGGATCACTCCTTGGGTCCTCTCCTTTTATTGGAATGGTGGCAGAAGTCACCTCTACAGGAAGGAAAGTATCTAAACACAAGTAGTTTTGAAAGGATCAAGTTATTCTTAGTGCATTCACACACATAACTTACAGGGAAGAACAAGTCAAGAGCTATTCAAAACACATTTTGTTGACAAATAAATGGACAGACATGCACCAGACTCGCTTCATAACACAAACACATTCATCCACAAATAAAGGCTAAGACAAGAAATGCTACTTATTTACACAATTTACCTTGCAGATACTGCAGAGTCTTTATGAATTCAAAGACTTGCTAAACATGTGAATAAGATCTTCATACAAAGTTAGAGGATCAAAGACTAAAAACAAACATGACTTCTGTCAGGATATCATTTCAAACACTTACAAATATCTCCTCCATTGGGGCTGGAGTTTCCAAGAGAAGACAAAAACGCATGTGACAAGTAAAGCAAGTGTTTCCTTACTGTTCAGGTGACACCAGGTGCCATCATAGGCACAAATCAATACCACCATAATATTCCCTAAACAAGGAAGGGTCTGTCAAATCCAAAAAGTTAAAAATATCTGGTAGTAATATAAAGATCAGGACTGAGACACAGATTTGCTCTTACCTATGTGGTTCTAGGACTTGTATTAGACAATTATGTTTACTTAGGATGCTAAGTTATAGAATGAGAAAATGCATATGCGTGTGGGGCATTCATAACTTTGACCTATATTAAAAGGTCACAGCTTTATACTCAGCATTGCAAAGTCCTGGAAGGAAAAAAAAAGTGTTAAAAAGGACTACATGCTCCAAATTGTGAATGTTGCTTTGGGAACACTCAAAACACCTTTAGCACAGGATGTTCCACAGTGGGTTTAGCTGAAAAGGGCTCACTGCTTCACCAGTAATAAAATTATAATAGAATTGGGGCTTTTCATGGGTTGCTTCTGTTGAGATGGGCAGAAGAACATTTCTGTTGCCCACTGGTGTTGAGGTATGTATGGGCATGCAGCACTTCTCCATAAAGGGCCATATTTTTGGAATTTAATGTACTCACCCTGCGCCCATCATCATATATCATTTGAAAGCTTATTTTATGTACATTTAGATGAGTTATGACACGGAGCTAACCAGCGAGGCTATAAGCCTGTAGGCGAGGTGAAACGATGGTACCCAAAATAAGAAAGATTCATTTCTTGCAGTTTTAGAAACATTGCAAACATGACTAACTACAGTTTTTACTGTTTAAGTTAATTTCAAACACCTTAATGTGGTGTTTACTGGTCAAAGTTATAAAACAACCATATACTAAAAGATTTTTTAATCTGTTTTCATGGGTAAGTTTTTTTTTCCAGAAATGATGAAGCTCTTTAGCATGTGGCAAAAATGGAAATCAACATTTTTCACTATACTAACATGAAACGTTTAACAAGTCAGAATATGCAATGTGAAAAAGTACCTCACAAGTTTTAGTTATAGTTTTCAATTGAAATTTGCTGACTAGATCAGTCTCTCACTGAAGGTTTGCACAATAGTAGATTGCATGTGCACAGCTGTACTGTATAGTGAAGAGATAAGGTACATGAATTCCTAAGGTAGAGTTTCTCCATGTGCAAGCTTCTGTACATACAATGTTGCATCTAGTTTTTGTGGAAAAAGGTTTTAAATTGGTAATTGCCTATAAATGCAGTATGAGCCTTTGAAATAT